AGAAGAAGAAGAAGAAGAAGAAGAAGAAGAAGAAGAAGAAGAAGAAGAAGAAGAAGAAGAAGAAGAAGAAGAAGAAGAAGGGAGGGAGGCCAAAGGTCAATCTTTCAGTTTTTCTCCACCTTATTTTTTGAGACAGGGTCGCTTACTGAGTCTGGAGCTCTCTAGATCATCTAAGCTAAGACCCAGAGATCTGTCTATCTGTCTGTCTCCATTTCTCTACAGGATTACAAATTCACTACCACAGCCAGGTTTTTTTTTTTTTTTTTTTTTTTTTTTACACATAGGTTCCGGGGATTGCACAGCAGTCATTTTTACCAACTGAGCTCTCTCCCCACCCCCCAACCCCACCCCCAGCTGGCAATTGTTGGACAGAAGGGAGAGGTGGGGAGAGTGGTTGGGAGTAGTTCTAATGTTAACATTCAACCCCTACCGTTGGATATGATTCATCCCTTCTCTCTTCAAGCCTGGCTCTTTTTAATCCCTAAAGTCCTCATAGTAATGCCTTTCCAGTGTATTCTACAGGCTACAGTAGCCACTTAATAATAAATAATGGATTGGAAAGTTCCTTTTAGGTGACAAGTCACTGTGTAGATAGATGTGAGATAATGTCAGATTGAATCAGCGAGGGGTACTACCATTGGGGCTAAACTTTGAAAGGCATTTTGGAAATTTCAGGCTGGGAGATACAACAGACACTGCCAAGGAATAGATACACGTGAGCTGTTGGAATGGTAGGCCTCACCTACAGGGAAGGAGAGAGGATATGCTAGGCAAACTTGTGTAGGAAATACTGTGGGAGCTTCTGATGACATGGGGTTAGTCCAAAGCTTTTCATGAGAGGTGGGAATAGAGTAGGCAATATGGCTGACCTTCCCTAAGGAGAATCAAGAGATGGGGACAGGTTGGGAATGAGGAAGTCTGAGGGAAGCATTAGGAGGCTGCTTTATGGTGTAAATCACAGTGATCACTCTTTCCCTGTGTCTTTAGTGCCAACCAAACCTGCCATATTTGTGGGAATGCAGCCAGGCCCTGTCTTCGAAGTTCAGTGGCGAATGTACTGGAGAGAGATGGGTAAATGGGAGGGCGGTGAGTCCCACAGCCTTCCCGTGAGCACATCAGATGTCTATGCTTACTTGACAGCGTAGAGCTAAATAAAGGAGGGTTCCTTTCCACACTTCCTCTGTGGAGAATTCGCCTCCAGGTGCATCATTTGAAGAGACTCTGGAAAAAGACCGTTGACTTCTCAAGAAAATCACTTAAGAAATGATAGCTCAGGCTGGAGGGATGGCTCAGCAGTTAAGAACATGTGTTGCTCTTGCAGAGGACCCAAGTTCGATTCCTAGCACTATACAGTGGCTTGCAACCATCTGTAATCCCAATTCCAGGGGATTCAACAGGCATGCATGAGGTATACATACATATATATTTAGGGGAAAACATACACACAAAGTAAAGATAAATAAATTTAAAAAAACAATAATTGACATTTGAGAATGTAGAGCAACTGGTAGAGCACCCACCTAGCATGTATGATGCCCCTGGTTTGATTGGGCATGGTGACACAAGCCTGTATGTAACCCCAGTACTGAGGACATTGAAGCAGGAGAACCAGAAGTTTAAGGTCATCCTTAGCTATGTATAGAGCCCCTAGCTAGCCTGCGTATTTGACTGAAAATGGCACTACTACATCTACCGCACCTACTATGAATAGGTGTGCACCCCTATTCATACCTTGGAGTGTTGATTTTTGAGAGTCTTTTGCTGTGTCAGCTCATCATCCATAAATAGTCAGTCACCACTGAAGAGTCCACTTCAGCCCTTAAATTTTTTACTTTATCCTTCCTTCTAAACTAGTGACTTTTTAAACAATATTGCTCATTTTTTAAATTATTTAGTGTATCAGCAACCATAAAAAGCTTAATTGGACTGATAGATCTCTACTTTGAACCTCATATCAAAGTTAAAACAAGAAAAGCAATCATACTGCATTCATAAATTAGTGTCCTCAACTAAGGGCCTGGCTGTGGCTTTGTATACCTTTAACCCCAACCGGCTGGTTTTCTATCCTGTTAAACTTTGCCCTCTTAGTCATCAGCCTTGGCTGGGAATGACCGTTAGCTTTTCCTCAAAATTCCACTTCAATGACCAAGATTTGCTTTTGACAGAAATACTTAAGTAGAGGAGGAGAGCCTCACAATGGAGTGATCAATTATATCCCTAGTGACTGACATTGCCACCAGCCTTTATTCAGGATGGGTTGTGTAAAAATAAAGTCACACCTCTACCCGGCCACTTCCTGCCTGTCCAGAATGCATGGGTGTGTATTCTATTTCCTTTTTTACTTTTATGTTGTGCAATCACTTCAAAGAATTAAGAGTAACTGAAGCATTGGCTCAAAAGGAGTGCCTTGCCTTTCTCTAATGGTTAACTGCTCCTCACAGGGCTGGTCTTTTCCTCCCGTGTTCTTGGAGTACTTGTGTTTCTGATACAGTTACCAACCAACCTATAATTTTTTTTCTTTCATGAGACCTTGTGTAGGAAGCATTTCCTGTTCCCATCTGTTGCACAACTCTGCCTAGGGCCTGGCACTTAGTGGAGCCTAATGTTATAACATTGGATGAACCCATCCCAGGAGTTCTTGAGCATTAGAACCAGATTTATCCTGACAGCTTTTCTTTGGGGGGGGGCTGTGGGAGATTAAAACCAAAATATGTTTTCGTTTTTCTTTTTGTTTGGTTTTGGTTTTTTTTGAGACAGGGTTTCGAGCCTGTCCTGGAACTAGCTCTTGTAGCTCCGAGTGCTGGGATTAAAGGCATGTGCCACCACCACCCCGCCCAAGTATGTTTTCATCTGTCACAGGATAAGCTTTTTTTTCAACTTTCATAGAAAAATGTTTATAAAACTTTTGATAAAGGCCAAGTGTGGTGGCACCTGCCTTTAATCACAATACTCAGACAGAGGCAAATAGATCTCTTTGAGTTTAAGGCCAGCCTGGTCTACAGAGTGAGTTCTAGGACAGCCAGGGCTACACAGAGAAACGCTACCCCAAAAAACAAAACCAAAATCAAACAAAAAACTTTTGATAAGAAAAATTCTCTAATCCTAACAGGTTTTTTTTTTTTTTTGAGTCCTTCCTTTTGGGCTGCATAACCTGAGACTGGAGTTGTATTTTTGACCCCACCCTAGTTGCTATAGCTGATGAATCATAGAAACCACAGTTGGGAAAGACCAGTGAGATCATCTGGCCAGTCTCCAGATCTGGGAGTGGAGCCCTGGAATGTGGGGATGACCACGAGAAGAGAAGAGAAGAGAAGAGAAGAGAAGAGAAGAGAAGAGAAGAGAAGAGAAGAGAAGAGAAGAGAAGAGAAGAGAAGCAGCTAGGGTCGAGTGAACAGCTTACCCATTACTTTGCCCTTGGCTTCAACCACAGTCCCGAGACCCACCCACTTAGAAAGCAGTCAGGCATCCCCGGTGCCCCAGAAAAGCAGATGCTGGCATGCAAAAGGATGGAACTGAAGTTCAGTTGCCTGAGTAATAACACTAGATCATGAATCATTCAGTGATTGATTTAACAGTCTTAGAAAACTTGAGACTATCTTTGCATAGCTATTAATTTAGGAGCTTATAAGGAACTTAGAGGTAACCTGGGCCAAAATGTATTGTTCCCAGATTCTGAGAGACTAACATTGAGAAGGTGAGAAACTCCAGATGTACACAGGGTAGGAACCACCCTCGTCCCTCTGTGCAGTAGCCTCACAGTATCCACCTTCCTGGGCTTTCCCTCACTCACCCCTTCCTCCCCAAATCTCCACTTCTTCCTTGTTCTCTCATGGTTCTGTTGTCTGAAGAATGGCGGAGTTGACTTTGTATCCATACCAGTGATCTATTCTAGGCCTGACCTCTGCCACCCTCAGTGGGCATCACAGGAGCAGGTGAAGCCCCCCTTAGCCCACCCGAAACCTAACCCTACCTTCCTGACTTCCCTTCTGGCAGTTTCTCTCTTCTTCCAGCTGTGGAGCCTTAGTTTCACCTCCTGTTTCCGTTCTACCCTCCCCTTTACATTTTGATGGATCGCAGTGCCCTTGGCTTCCGTTGGTGTCTAGCCAAGCTCCACCTTAGTTTCCTGCATCCTCTTTTAGACTCTGCATCAGTTCTGGTCTTGTGAGTAACAAAATAGGGCTCCACTCTTCCCTGCCCTCCCTGCCCACCCTATGGATGGTGATAGCATGTATCTCCAGGATATGTTCCTGTCTCTAGTTATCTACCTATATTCACACAGGTACATCACATATTACTAGGAATTTAGTACATTAAGGGTATTTAACAGATCTCTGCTGTTATTTTTAATAATTCTGTGTCCACTGGGCATGGTGGCACAAGCCTTTAATCTCAACACCTAGGAGACAGAGGCCGGTGAATCTCTGTGAATTCAAGGCCAGCCTGGTCTACGTAGTGAATTCCAAGACAGCCAAGACTATGTAGAGAGACTCTGTCTCTAACAATAATAATAATAATAGTAATAAATCTTTATCCTACTTCATTTGGCTTAAAAAACATTGCTTAATCACAGATACACATTTAAACAATATAGTGTCTAAAACCATGTTGGAGGTTCTATAGTCCAAAGAGTTTGAACTAAAGCATTAACTTTTTTTGTACTTAGTAAGTCCTTGGTTTCCAATGGGAATGAGTTCCAGAGAGCCCTTTCCATGGGTAACAAAACCTGAAGATGCTCAAATCCTGTCTTTAAAATGACAAAGGAGAGCACTGTAGACTAGACCCAGAGACAGAACAGAGTGGACCAAAGAAGTGCAGAGTCATTGGGCAGGCATTGATGAGGGCATGGAGACAGATTTACATGTGAGGATTCTAGGCCACCACAGGTTACCCTGAGAACCAGTCTGTGGTTCTGGGTTAGGAAGTCTAACTGATACATTAACACTAGCCCAGATCTTTGACCACACTGAGATACCTAGTTTTCCCCAAAGCATAGTGAAGTCATGCTGGTCAACTAGGATTTAGGTTCCTACACAGCCAAGCCTGTGCGATGCTGTAGGACAGATTACATATGCATATAGTGTAGCCACTCTGGAAGGTGACATTCCCAGTGAGGGGTTTTCTGGCTTCTGGATGTAGACACTTGTGTGGTCACTAATGCAACTATAGCCTCAGCCCCAAGTCTGAGGTTGGAGTACCATTCTGATCCACGAGCACATCAACCTACCTGGTAGTTCCTATAACCAGAACTCCCTCAAAGGACCCAGTGATAGACTATCTGGGGTTCATTTCCCTGCCATGTCTGATACTTTTGACTCCAGAATGAGGTCAGTGCCTGGAAACAAATGGGAGAAACAGAAAGAGCTATGGGAAGCCATTATATGATGTTGGTGGATCCCAACCTTGTCTACCACTGAAGTTGGGGGCAGATGCTGTTGTCGTGAACACAGTGTTTGAAACTATAGTTGTCGATGCTGAGATCTTCCAGTCTTTTGTTCATCATAAATAAGGTCATCACTGATTATAAAAACCTGGAGAAAGCCAAAGGAAGAAATCCTAGAGGCTGGGGAACAGCCTGGGTTGAAACTGGACCCATTTGTTTCCATTCTAGTGGCTAGCATTCCACCCCTGACAATGCCAGTTGACCAGCCAGGAGTGGCCCCATGCTTCATTGATGGCATCCAAGTAGCTACTGCCTACTCTGGTCCCTTGCTAGACTCACACTCTCAGTCAGTAACATAAAAGAAAGAAGAACCTGTCTTTACCACTCTACTTTCTTTCAACAGATGACTTTGGTGCTAGATCCCCTTGTTCAGTTGCCTTCTTTAGAGCTGGTGTCTGTACCCTATGATCCATGTACACATTTTGACTTCAAACGGTGTCTTGTTCTAACTTTGTAAGATGGTGTCCTTGATCTCCCGGGGTTCAGTGCTGCTTCATCTGAGGCACTGAAGGCTGAACAAAGACTAGCTCAATCCCACTTGGATGTCATTTAACACCATGTCTTGAAACTAGAGAAATGAAAATGAAATTAAATAAAAATGGTGTGATATTTGCATTTGTAAGGTGAACACCCTGTAAGTAGTTGTCATAGTGTTTTGTTAAGGAAGAATGTACATGTTCAATACAGACATGTGATTCATTTTTAAAGGTTTTCAGTGAGCAGATGTTTGAACACCTGGATATGGAATTCATGTAGGTGAAGGGTCAATTATCTTTACTAACACAAAGGATGCTCTTTCCTGTGGTTTGAGCAGAAAAGGAACCCAAAAAAGAGGAAGACTAATTATACTTTTAAAAAAACTGATCTATTGATCTATTTGTTATGATAGAGTTTAATTATTCAAAGCACTTTCACTTAGAAAAATACCTGGCCTTTTCAACGAATAAATAACACTTGTTTCTATGCAACAGTGTGAATGTGTATGTACAAGTTCACTACACCTAAATGTATTACACAGTGCACATTAAGGATGTATGTTTAAAGCTACAGGAGAATATGATGCTTTTTTCCCCACTCCAAGTCCATGGTTTCCAGTACCCACCACAGTCCATTCCATCCAAGTCGGTTCCTTCATATGGAGGCACTTCTTAGGAGTCCCACACTGGCCAGGGGCAGGGCTTTATGAAGAAGACTTTGCAGATCCTAGTCTGAGTGAAGCCTGGCACACATGCATAGTACCATAGATAAAGATACAATACAAACAATACAAGGGTTATGGGACTAAATGTACCAGTTCTACCCTACCCATAAACTTCATGCCACCCATTATCTTGTTATATTCACTTGCCCAGCATACACTTGTGTTCTTCATAAACTCTAGATGTATACACCCTGCCTTAATGGTCTAATCATAAATTACCAGTAGAGAATCAACCTCAGGTAAGATTTTTGCCATATTTTACATTTCCTAATTTTGCAGTGTTTTCTTTGTCAGCAGAGAATGCTGGGGTGCTCTCATCTGTCCTTTATCTAGAGATGTTTTTCTTAATAATTGGGCTTTCTTATGTATGCATACAATTCCATTAGAAAGATTTGAATGGTGATAAGATGGCTCAGTGGGTGAAGGTGCTTGCTGTGTAAGCCTGGAGACCTGAGTTTAATCCCTGAACCCAATGAAAAGGTGCAAAGAAGTTGGGCGTTGGTGGCACACACCTTTAATCCCAGCACTCCGGAGGCAGAGGCAGGGGGGTCTCTGTGAGTTCTAGGCCAGCTTGGTCTCCAGAGTGAATGCCAGGATAGGCTCCAAAGCTACACAGAGAAACCCTGTCTTGAAAATCAAAAAACAAAACAAAACAAAAAGGTGCAAAGAGAGAACTGACACTACATAGTTGTCCCCTGACCACCACATATGTGGCTTGCACACCCATACACACACCTTACACTCCCACACATAATAATGATAAATTTGTTATGGTTTTTGAAACAGTGTTTGTGTAGCAGCTCTGGCTGCCCTGGAACTTGCTCTGTAGACAAGGCTGGCCTCGAACTCACAGAGATCCATCTTCCTCTGCTTCCTTAGTGCTGGGATTAAAGGAATGCATCACCACCACCTAGTTATAATTTTTTTTTTAGTATCTGAGTGTTCCCTAAATGTCTGTATGCAAATACAAATACAAAATAATGTTGGGTCAAAAAATGAAAGTGGCTGATAGGACTTGTGATGTTCATCCTTTGACTTGCCAATCTGATCTGCAGTGAAGAGATAGCTAGCTCAGGGATAGAGCACTTAGTTCCCAATACTGACTTCCCTCAACTGAGTTCACTAAGTTCACTAAGCTGCTGGGGCTGAAGAGATGGCTCAGTAGTTTAAGAACACTGACTGGCTGTTCTTCCAGAGAACTCAGGTCTGATTTCTTAGTACCCACAAGGCTGGCCATCCAGTTCCAGGGGGATCCAACACTTTCTTATGGTCTCCACGTGTATCAAGTATGTATGTGATACACAGATATACATGCAGGCAAAACACCCTTACATATAAAATAAAATATTTTTTTAAAAAGAGAAAGACAAGAACTAGGTTGTCTTTGGCTCAGGAAGCACCCCTGTGACCTGACCTAAGAATGATTTTTTTTGTTTTTGTTTTTTGGGGTTTTTTGTTTTGTTTTGTTTTGTTTTTTGAGACTAAGAATAATCTTAACACATTTGAAAGATGAAATACATCTTTCAAAAAATTTAGTTGGCCGGGCATTTGGTGGCACATGCCTTTAATCCCAGCACTCGGGAGTCAGAGGCAGGCGGATCTCTGTGAGTTCGAGGCACAGTTCGAGTTCCCTAGAGCACAGGGAAGAGAGGTGTGCATAGTCTGAGCCTGAATCCTGGCATAATCCTCAGATGTAAGGGAAAGGATGTCAGAAACATGGCTCATATTATCAGAGTTGTGTCTTAGAGGGCTGGGCATGTAGCTCAGTAGATAGAGCTCTTGCCTGGTGCTAATGAAGCCTAGGTTCAATCCTGGCACCATAAAAAGGCAAAGGTGGTAGTGCATGCCTGTAAGGCCAGCTCCAAAGCACTATAGACAGGAAGATCAGGGGCCAGGCCATCCTCAACTGTGATTTCAAGGCCAGCCACGGATAACCAGGACCCTGCTTCAAAAAACAACTAATGCCCTACACCAAATAAACTCAAAAATCCCTGAAATGCCTTTTAGGAAGATCATTCTGGCTGATTTGCAACAAATTAGTGGGGGAAGTAAGGATCTGTGATGTTTGGGGACACTGGTGTCCCACAGATGTTTCTTGCAAATGTTTCTGAATGTATCTCAAAACAAAGTAGAAAGTGTGGTTTGACCATGTGGCTGCCTCTGTGTGGCTTAGGTGATGACACAAGTTTAACAAGATCTGTCTGAGATCTTATGATGAGTTCAGCGTGGCTAGAGTTGAAGAGGCTTAAAAGCTAATGAAGTGACCACCATCTCAAGACCTGCAGGGGACCAGACTTGGTCCTGCTAAGGAGAAAACTGTAGTTTTTGGAGGTTAACCTGGCCACATAGCTTTCCTGACATTTTTACAAACTGCTGTCCAGCTGGAATAAGAGCTTTCCCTGTGTGTATGAGTGTATGAGTGTCTATGTAAGTGTGTGAGTGTGTGTATATGTGTGAGTGTGTGTTTTTATGTGCACATCTGTGCATAAAGACTAGAGGACAACCTCTATTACAGTTCCTCAGACACCCTTTTGAGACAGAATCAACCAGTGGCCAGAAACTGGCCAAGTAGTGTAGGCTGACTGGCCAGAGAACCCCAAGGACCTGTGTCTACCCCAACCCCCATTCTCCATCCCTTCAACTCCCTGATGCTGGGATCACAAGAACAGACACCACCATCAGCTTTTTAATGTGGATTCTGGGGGTTTAATTCTAGCCCTTGTACTTTTAAGGCATCCACTTTACCCCCCCACCACCACCACCACCCATTTAACCTCTTTGTGGATTCAATATAATACAATTGTTGCCTAACAATGGTCAATTTGATTTCCAAATTATCCTGACTGTGTATCAGTAAGAGTCCCCTCAAACTGGCTTTTGATAAAGCATGTGTCCGATGAACTAACATCAGAACCAATGAGATTCCAGACAGAATGTAGCATGCCAAGGAGATAGGACAAGAAGAAAAACGAACATAAGAAGAGATCTTTTTGCTCCCAAGCAGAATTATAGCTAGTGATTTCCAATTAAGAAGTAGTTTCAGGATAAAAATGAAAACATGGACGTGGCCATATACCATATGCATCTTAAGACTCCAGGGGACCAGAGAAATGGCTCAGTGGTTAAGAGCACTGGCTTGCCGGGCATTGGTGGCGCACACCTTTAATCCCAGCACTTGGGAGGCAGAGGCAGGTGGATCTCTGTGAGTTCGAGGCCAGCCTGGTCTCCAGAGTGAGTGCCAGGATAGGCTCCAAAGCTACACAGAGAAACCCTGTCTCCAAAAACAAAAACAAACAAACAAACAAACAAAAAAAACCATAAAAAAGGCACTGGCTTGTTCTCCAGAGGAGTCAGGTTTGATTCTCAGCACCCACACAGTGGATCAAAACATCTATAATTCCACTTCCAGGGGATGTGAAACCCTCTTCTTGCCTCTAATGGCACCAGACAAGCATGTGATCTGCAGATATATATACGAAGCCAAAACACCCATACACATAAAATCAAAAGTTGAAATATGTTGAAATATGTTAAGACTCCAGAAAGACATGACATGGTCCCTCAGGGATTCACTCTAAGACTTCTTCAGTGTTTAACCCACGGCAGTCTGCCATGTGCAAAGTAGAGGGAGATGCTTCAAAGAAACAAATAAGACAATCTGTGGATGGAGATTCAGAAGTCCTTCATACTAGCAGAACCAGTCTCACATTCCTCAGAAATAGCCAAGTGTGACTTCTAACTGCCTCTTTTTTTGATTGAGGACACCGAAAAGTTGAACAGGATGTCAATGAAGCCTGGCCACATACATTAAGCTTTGCCAGATGTCCAGGATAAGCCAGAAATTCTTTTGGCTGTTCGGTGACTTTTATACATTTCGCATGATGTCAGCTAAGTGTCATTTCCGGTGGAGGACCTCCCACCCTCCCACACACAAGCAGGAGTATGTGGCCTGTGGGGCTGGGTGGAGAAATAACTCAGAGGCAGACAACTGCTTTTTGATACTGTGTGCCTGAATCTTCTTCTGTTCCAAGGCGTTCACACCCAGTGATAGATAAACATGGTTTTTGTCTTTAAAGCTGTCCATAATGAAGAGCTGTGAATGTAAATCAAACATTGTATCAAAAGTGATAATGTCCTTTTTTCTACTTGTTATTCTGCTGGGGCTCACGTGTAACTTCTAGTGGCAAGGCTGGGCAACCTAGAGCCTGAGCTGGATGTTGGGACCCCAGTTGGGGCTGACTTCACAGCTAACTGGCTATGTGACAGTAAGCACAGTACTGAGCATCTCTTTCCCTGGCTATCCTGCTATCCTCGGAATGAACTGAGAGAGGAGTACAAAGTATAAACAGATGTTGTAGTCAGTTGGGAGCAGGGCTGAGAAGATAGCTCAGCTGGTAAAGAGCTTGTGGCCAAAGCAAAGGAACCTGAGTTCCATCCTCAATTCAGGCAGGTAAAATGGTTACTAACCAGCCAGTCTAAACCTAATTTGCGAGCTCCAGGCACCTTGTCTCAAATAACTCCTGAGGAACAGCGTCCCTGAGGCTGACATCTGGTTGGCTTCCACATGTGAACTACAGGCTCACACAAATAGATGGGAGAGATGATAAAGAACCATTAGGACCAGGAGAAAAGAGAGAGAGGTGAAATGTGCAGCTTAAAGACCCAGTGTGAAAGGTGTTCTGGATTCTTCTGTTAGCCTGAGGTTTGATGCAGTATGGGCAGTCACACACAGACATAGTTCACTCCTGCATTGTCCGTGTGACTGCCCCTGAAAATCAGGCTAGGAAAAAATGAAAAAATAAAATAAAACCCAGAGAAGCAATTGGTCAAGGGAATGAGAAAAACAAAACCCCAATAATCTACAATTAGGAAAGACGGTAGGAGGTCTTGTAGAGTGCTCTGAAGTGCTGCTGTCTGGGGGAAGGAGGCACCTGGGTGGGGGGGGGGTGCCTTACCTCTGAGTCTCCCTGACTGCTTGGAGGCCTTCATGCAGTTTCCTAGGCCCATTAGGCTCTCTAGGTCGTTTCAAATAAACCGCCCACCCCATGCTCCTCCATCTGGTGACCAGAGGTTAAACTAATATGTTTGCAGACGGTCATGGAGAGCTGGGTGCCAACAGCCTAACTCAGGGGAATCCAAGTATGTGTGTCTTGAAACAATTCTACCCTCCATTACCTCGACATCTAGAAGCCTATAAACAAAAGAAGAAGTGGATTGGGCAAGCCAGTCTGCTGAAATCTTAACAGCCGAGGGCCAGGCTGACCACTGGGCCCAATACCCTAGGAGTAAGGGGGGTAGGGAGGTGGAGGCTTGATGGGCCTGGGAAGGTGGTGAGGCTGTCACGTAGGGCAGGGCCGGGACTGGGCGGCGTTCCAGAGAGGGTGAGTCACCCGGAGCAGGGTGGGCACAGGCCAGGGAGGGGAGGGGAGGCGTGGCGGCTTTACGCAGGGAGGATGGGGCGGGTATAAAAGCCCCACCCAGCCCAGCCGGGCCGCTCGGCTTCTGGGGAGGCTTTCAGCGCTAGGCGCCCGGCCCAGGTAAGTGGGGCGCGGCCCGGTCATCCGCTATGGCCTCGGGGTTTCGGTGTTGAACCGGGAGCGGGCAGGCTCCGACGACGGGGACCCTGGGAGGCACCAAGAAGGATCCATCCCCTTGGGCGATCTACTGCCACAGAGTTGCAAAGTGTCCCGTGTGGGGTCGTGACACGTCTCTTTGCATACCACGCCTGGGGGGGGTGCAGGGCAGAGGTGGAGGAGACTGTGCTTCCCCTTGAGGTCCCCTGAGAAGCAGGGAGACCCTGTGTGGGGCGGGGAACCGAGGGGCTCGGCATTCCAGAGGTGCTAGGTGCCAACGGGGGACTGGGTGTGGCCGCTGGGGAGCCTGCAGCCCAACAGTGAGACATCTGTGGACTTTTCCCCTCCGCCTTCCGAACTGCGTCGTCCTCTCACTCTGAACCATAACTCCTGCAATTTCAGGTGTATTTCTTTGCTACTGACAAACGTAAATTTGTGAAGTCGGCGCGGGGAACCGGGCGAGGGCGGGGGCGGCGGCACCAGAACTTCAAGTCTTGAGTTCTTGGTGCCCTCCTTTACACAAAACAATCTCAGCTCAGTCTTTGTCGCGAACTCTAGATTGTTTGGTAGGACAGCGACCTCAGACCCTATTCTTTCTGAGGAGTTTGCCGCCCTGGAACGTGTGCAGAAAGAAGTAACCCAGGCTGGTTCAGTAGAGAAAGTTGCCTTGACTGCACTGAAGCCACCATGAGTCAATTGACAGAGTCTATAGAAAAGGGCGTGGCTCCTGAGCCCCAGGTTCCAATGCTGGCATGGAGGGCTGTGGCTCCAGAAGTTTCTTTATCTATAAAAGTGGTTTCCGAACCCTTGTTCTTAGCTCCACCCACACTGAGTTATTGAAGATTTCCGAAAACAAGTTCATTCAAAAATAGATAAGTAAAGCACACTGAAAACACAGCGTTGTACAAATATAAAAGAAAACAAAAAGCTGTTACTTGAGACATAGCGGTAATCTCAAAACTCGGAAGACCGAGGCAGCAAGATCCTGAGTTTGAATCCAGCCTGAGCTACAAAGTGAGACACCATCCTCCCCCTGACCCCCGTCTCAAAAAACAAACAAACAAAACGGAGAGCTGATCTAGCTCATTGGTAGAGTACCCCACTAAGACACACAAGATCCAGGCTTTTATTCCCAGAACCAGAATAACCAGAAAGTTATTCATTTGTGTAGTAATTTGCCATATTCAGTCCCAGCCCTTAACAACAACCATAAACTCTTGGAATCCAAGGTCCTCAGCCTTTAACATACAGGGGTATTATCAGATGAGTCTGCAACTTGGACTGGGAAGCCACTTCCCGGCTCTCCCCCAGGAACACTATAGAAGGAGTTTGGAAACCCATGCTAGCACACTCCCCCACCCCAATTAATTAATTTGCACTGTATCTGAGTGCTGCCTAATGGCAAGGAGCAGGATACAAGATGGGAGGGCGAGGGGTGGTCCATGGGTAGGAATAATAAATCACTGATGCGGTTTTCAGGGTTTTCTCCGTTTAGTTTTAAATATAGATTTGATTAAATCGTGTTAATTGAAAACTTGTGTCTTTGCCCCCTTCTCTGGTTTCTTTTTCCTGCTTCCCTGCCACCTTCTTGCGGTCTGTGTCCCTTGATGTGTTACGTTGGCTTTGGACACTTGAGCGGCCCCTCCTCCACACCCACTTCCTCTTCATTTCAGTGTGTGCTGCGCCCAGCCAAAGCCTGTGGGTCTGAGTCAGGGAACCTGAAGATGGCAGATGAGATCAGGGCAGAGCCCCGTCCTCTTCCACTGAGTCCACTGCTCACCTTAGATCCCGGGGTTTCTTTAGAAGAGCCCGTCGCCTCTGCTGCAGCAGGGGCAACCTCCTAGGTGCGCACCTTTCTGTTGAGGGTTTCCTGTTTGGTGTGGTAGAGAGAGAAGTTCAGGAAGTTTTGCTAACTAGCCAGGCAGCACTTAAGGCTTTGACTGAGAGCTTGGGTTTGGACTGGTGCCTCTCAATGTTTCACATCCTGTGTCTTTGAGTTATTAAAATACCCTATTGATTGGCATTACACATGCAGTCTTGGCCACTGGCTTCCTGACTAAGCTCCGATTTAAGTAGTTTTCCTGGCAAGACAGGCACTCTCCTAAATTGCTATTGATTTTTGAGAACTCTCATCTCTCTCTGCACCTTTGGGCCTGCATTAATGTGTGTGAGGGTTGATGGGAACTTTGGCTCTAATTCTTGGCTTGTGCTGGGTGCCAGACCTGTTTCATCTGGGGAGAGTGGGTGTGTTACAAAAGGAGTCCCAGGCACTGTGGGCTGCTTTCAGCATCCATTTGTCTTACAAACTGTCTTTTACGTACCCACTGTGTCCCAATCACAGTTATGGTACTGAGGATACAGTAGTAGACTAGACACACATGCATGCATATTCGTTCACTGTGTGCTTGTACATACAAACACAGCCCTTGCCTTTCAGATTTTGAATCTTTTAGGGAAAGAAAAAAAAAGAAAAGATACGTGTGTTAATTGTAGAGATAGCAATTTGATTTGACATTTTGTATTTTCCTAAACTAATATTTACTCACAAAACCAGCTGGGTCTCCATTCCCAGCTTCTATACAGTTGTTTCACAGACCTAGACATGGAGCTGAGCTTATCCCAAAGAGGTGTCTAAATAAACTGGATTTAACCTGTTCTTCACAATCAACTGGGAGACTTGAGTAGAAGTTGGCTGTTCTCTTTTTCTGCACCTACAAATAACCCCCCCCCAAGCCACACCCTTCTCTAGCTGTGGGCCTGCCATCCAGAGAGGAAATTCCAGTCCTTAACAGAAATTCTTTCCACCCATTCACAGTCTGGCATGTTTTTTCTTTTGTTACCAGAGGCAGTCCCCATCCGTGTTGTTGCGGGGACTTATGATTCTGGGTGGTTCCATTGATATGATTTCCAGATGTTCCCATTAGGGAGCACATTGACCCTCTTAAATCATCTGAGCGCAGGTCTTTGTAGGGTACTCATCTGCAGCACCCAAGAGGTCTGAGTTTAAAATCAGACCAGACAACTCTGACCACAAGGAGTGGCCATGACATGGAACCATTTGTATATGCCCTTTGTCTCCTGGTCACACCCAGAGGACACTCACAGCTCAGAGGAATTACATGACTACGTGGTTCTTCTGCCTCCCTTGGACTACCTCTTTGCCTTCTGGCTCTCTGCTTGTTCCTGTGGATGCTGTGGTTCCCATGCTGTCCACATCATCCAGATAATGTGGAGATGGGGCTGAGTACCAGCTGCTTATAACAAACGGGAAGAGGCTGTCCTAACATGATCTGCCAAGCTATGAAGATGTTCAGAGTCTGGAAATGGGAGCTCCCAGATCTGAATGGGTGGAACTGGGCCAGGATTTTAAACATTCAGTCTTAGGTAAAGAAAGGAAACTGAGAAAGGAGACTATGTTGGAAAACCATGAAGTAGACCTAAAACAGAAAGACCCAGTGTATGAGCCACAACTTGCCATTGAACCACCTACTATATTCCAGGTACTGTCAGACCAATGGTCAGTACAAAAGAATAAGACACAAGTCCCATGGTTGGGCAGTGTAGAAGGTGTCCTCTGAACACTCAACTCTGGTATTTCACAAATACACAAAGAATATCAGGAGGGCTGGGTAAGGAGGGTGTTTGAGAAAGGTGATATCTGTTATGATTCTCCATAGCTTGAAGTCTTGTTTAGATGCCCACTGATCAAGATGGCATGCTCCTGGTAGAGGGAAAAATAGTCCTGAGCATGCTGAGAGAAGAGCTAGTGGTCTATCCTGACTTGTGTGAAGAGGGCATGTGTGAGTGTGCATTTGTGCAAAAACACTATTGAAGGACTGATAGTGTGGCTCAGTGGGTAGAGTCCTTGCCTAACATGTACAAGTCTTGGGTCCCTTCCTTAGCACCATATTAAATTGAGAGGCAAGAGGATTACAAGTTCAAGATCATCCTTGGCTACTTAATGAGACTGAAGCTAGTCTATGCTAAAGGTAAGACCTTGTCTAAAGACAGAGAAGGGGAGGGGAAGGGAGAGAAAGAAGAAATAGCAAACTTCAACTGAGAGGTAGGTTCAGAGTGTGGGGAATTGTCTTGAGCTTGAACCTTTTTTCTGGCAGCTGAGCCCTGTTGGAAGCCTAATATGTGGGCCATAAGACACTGAGATTGAATTATAGATGCTCAGGCTGCATTTCCCAACCCTGAACGTGTCTCATGCCAAATGACATCATTCTTCCATGCTGGTCTCTTCCCACCCACTCCAAATCTATCAGGAGGGGCTCCCAAACCAAGAAATGCTAGTATCTGTAGCTTGCAAACAAATATTGGTTCAGATCAGAAAGCCAGAGGGACAGGCTAGAGCAAACGCTGCAGGGGCCTCTTGCTGAGTCTGATCAAGGCCATGGGCAGAATTCCAGGAATCCCGGGGCTTGACTTGGCCCTGTGACTCAAGCATTAATCAGAACCATAAAACTAAGGGGGAAAGTATGAGCCTTCAAGAAGGTTCTGTTAACTAAAGATGATTTAGAGGGTGGAGGGTGGGGTACAGTGGGAACTCCCTCCTCCATCGACTCATGCATTTTTTGTTTAAAATCCCAATATAGTTTGTACACTGTGGTGTCCAGGAACTACAGTAAGGAAGAAAGGGCTGTGGTAGGGAAACCCAGCCCTCCACATTCCTACCCTCACCCGTTTTGACTTTAAAATCCTGGTTTGGAGTCATTCCAATCCATGATTGGTTCATTGTGGTTGCTAGGCATCTGTTTTGGGGTAACCCAACAACATGCTGTGTTTTTTCAACTACTCTCCAAGTGGGTGTGTCTCTGAAACTGCTGGGTTGGATTCTCTACAGACCAGCTCTGTCCCAACAAGCTCTTGGGATTTTTTGGTTTTTGTTTTTTGGGTTTTTTTTTTTTTTTTTTTTTTTTTTTTTTGTGGGAATATAAATTATGGGGTTTTGGGGCCCTGTT